CCGTCATCCTCTGTCATCCATAAAAACGTTTTCGTGCCAGGATGAATAAACAGTCATCCTGGATGATGGATGACACATAAGGATAATTCATCCAAATAGTGACACATATCATCCTCCATCATCCCCCGTGACTCCAGCTATTTTCGTGCTGCCTCAATATATTGTTCCTCTTCAGCTAATTTCAAGTACCAATGAAAATTATCCTTTTCGTATTTATAGTTTTGGAATACTTATTTCCCATTTATAGGGAGATTTTGTTATTAGACTAAAGTTTTAATAATAATAAAAATAGAATTCTTAAATTCAATAAATTTTTATTATAAGTCTGGAATGGAATATCGATTTAAATGTGATGAATTAATTATATGAAAAAAGAAAAGAAAATTTTAAAAAAAAACTTTTAATACGTTTTAGGAATATATTTTATTTTATTTCATTATTAAGAATATGAAATCTGAACAATACTCTTAAATTTCGTTATATCATAAATGTAATGTCGATTTTCAATCTGTTGTTTATTTGATTTAACGACTTCTAAATTGGACCACGTGTTACTTCTAATCTATTTTAACCTCAAAATAAAATCAACTAAGATTTATTAAACAAACCTAAAATAGATTTGCTTTTTCAGAATTATTGGTTTTTATTTATTTTTTGACCAAGTAGTAAGCATTTAAAGTCAGAAATAATTCATATATAAAATAAAATTGGGAAATATATAGAAATATTATATTATATATTTTAACAAGGGGTGCAAGTTTAAAAATCTTCATTGGCTAAAAGTCACATGTAACCTACTTCAGAATTGGAAAAAATATTATATTAAAAATTTTGAACAGTTTTTATTGGTTTAATTCAAGAAAATCTGTTTAGACTTCACGCATTGTAGGCTAGAAGTTCTAGCCAAATTTTCTTAATATAGAAATAAAAATTTATGAAACTATCAAATTATGATTAGCTGAGAAGAATGATTTCAGAAAACATGTGGCTGATCTCGTCTTTAATTTAATTAAATATAATTATGAAGTTTCCTATTATAAATTTATTTGTACAAATGCCCGGCAGCCCATCACACACAACACAAAACCATAATAATAATGATTCTAAAGGATCGGTCTCATATAACTATTGTTCAATTTGTATAACTTGTACTGCATCCGATGCCCGTTTCTTTATTTAATAAAAAATGCGTAGTTCCACTTTTTTTGAATTTTGTTTTCTGGAAAATCACATTCTTTTCACTTGTTCCACGCGAAGGCATAGTGGACGAATCTTATTCATCTCATTAAGATATATATGATTCAATTCTTAACACATTGTTTCCGATCACTTTTGTGGTTTTGTTCAATATCGAGAATGCGAAAAAAGAAATTATATCCGAACGTGAGACTACAGATGACATGTAATCGACAGTTGAACCTGAAACTACAAGACCTACTATTGAACCTAGATCATGGCTCACGAAAAATAAACTGTTACCATTACTAGATGACATATTATATAACATAGTCACTTGGGTGATTCCACTAACAGTTTCTTTGCCTATGATGATTTGCCGAGTATAAAGATATAGATATTTTCGATTATAAACATATGCAGTAATCGCATTAACTCGAGGAAAGAGTATTCATGAAACATTATGTCGAAAATTATAGTAGGAAATTATAGAAATATAGTTGATTTTTTAATTAATAAAATAAATCGCAGATCTTCTGTCATACTTCATTTAAATAGTAAAAAAAGTTCTAGTTCTTGTATCCGAATGGTCATAATCAATTATTTTCATTACTACTTGAACGATATTCTTCATTTTTATAAAATAGGATACTTTTATAAAAAAACGTTACAACTTGTATACTCGATATTCTAAGGAAGCGCTCCGGCGTACCGCTTCGTTATATTTCTCTGGTTAAACATAATTAAAAATTTTTATTAAAATAATAAATAAAAATAATAAATATTAAATAATGAGGAATGGAATAAAAATGTAGAACAATTCATATAAAATTTTAACGAATGTAAAAAAAATAAAAATAAAAATAAAAATAAATAAAAAATCAATAAATTATCTAAAAAAGAAATATATTACGAGTGAGACGAGAAAATAATTTTAATCCCAATCACCACCACAACCACCATCACTCCAATCACCACCACCACCCCAATCATCATCACTCCAATCACCACCACCGAAACCGAATTTGGGTTTGGCTTTGGATAAAACTTTTCCGGCCACCATTCCAGCGGCCTAAAAAATATCAGAAAAGAAATAATTTAATTTATCAATCTAAATACTTTTTTTTTTTTTAAAAAAAAAAAAAAAAAAAAAAATCAACGAAATCACGTATAATACTTACAACTCCTCCTAATCCTCCGAGTGCTAATTTGCCATGTTTAGATTTTCCAGTCTTACCCATTAAACTAGTCAGGCCAGTTAGACCACCAGCTAGACCAGCTTTAGTTTTTTTAGAAGTTGAATTTGACGTAGTAGTTGGATTTGATGTAGTAGTAGGATTATACTGTTGATCATATTGATTATTATAATTTTTGGAATAATTTGTAGGATAATTTTGCTGAGGTGGATAATTTTGTTGAGGTGGATAATTTTGTTGAGGTGGATAGTTTGGTTGTTGAGATGGATAATTTGGTTGTTGAGGTGGATATTGTTGATTTGAATCAGAAGGATAAGCAGGATATGGTGAAGAAGATGTTTGAGGAATAGGAAATTCTGGAGTAGGCATAGAAATATTTTGTGTTGTCGCATTTTGAGATGCATACGGTGGTGGATTATCATTTAAAGTTCCTCGTGGATCATCCCATGTGGTTATTGGAGGTTGTTTTGTTGTATCTAAATTTGGATTATTTAAAGATATAAGATATTGATTTTCCTATCTTAGAATTCTCTAAAAAATTTTATTAAAATTTAATACATACCAATAAAGAAATAACTTCCATAATTTGAGTCATACTTTATTAAAGATATATAAATTTTAAAAATTTAATATAATAATAACAAAATGTCAGAATTTTTCTTACAATCCACACACATAAACAAAATGTAAGATTACCTGAGAGACCCAACCGTGAGGAAGAGGCCTATTGTCCATTGTTATAATTTATTTCTTTAAAAAAACGACTTTTTTTTTTTTTTTTGAAAAATAAGTCGAAAATCCACTTATTTATAATCAATGTATTATTGTAAGAATGAATTACCAAAAATTATACCCAATGTAAATTAAACGTGAGACAAACATTTAAGCAAAGAACTTTCCATGGATTTCTACAATTGTTATTTTTAGGAACACATGAGTTGTACCTGATAAGAATCATCAGGTAATATACATAACTGATAATGTACGTATATTTTGTATTTCTATAAAGTACGATACAATTATATTAAATGTACAAGCAATATTTTTTTTTCTGATATGATAGAAAAAGTGTTAAAAAAAGTGTTAAAAAAAGTGTAGAAGAAGCTTATGTTATAAATACGTATAAAGAAAAATGAATACAGATAATAATGGCGAAATTAATTTTAAATAGAACGGCGGTTATAACGAAAGAATTTATACAATTCCGTGTTCATTTTTTGAACTTATGTATTTCTACTGCCTTCACTCAAGGAAATCATTTTTCCTCATTTTCGTTATCTTCACTTTCTTCATTTGTCATTTCTTCATTATTTTCCTCTTTTTCTTCACTTGCCTTTTCTTCATTTTTTTTTTATAATTATTACGTTTATTAGAGATTTAGAGATAATAAAAAATTAACGATATTTTCAACATTATTTCTTAAAGTTTTTTAAAGACGGCGCATTTTTTATTAAATATACAAGTATTATTTTTTCTCTAATATGATAGAAAAAGTGTTAAAAATTGTAGAAGGATTGTAGAATACTATTTCTACGTGAATGAGAATATTAGTTTTGTGTGATATGTTATATAAAGAATACAGATAATAAAGATGAAATTAATTTTTAATAGAATGGATAAAAGAAGGAATTTATACAATTTCGTATTCATTTTTTAACTTATGTATTTCCGCTGCCTTCACCCAAGGAAACATTTCTTTCCCGATTTTCGTTATCTTCTTCACTTTCTTTTTTTTCTTCACTTGTCATTTCTTCATTACTTTCCTCTTTTTCTTCACTCGCCGCCCTTTCTTCCTCACTTTCTTTGATCATATTTTTTCTTCCTTTCAATAAAACACTAGGACCACGAATTATTTTATCTTTTTTCATTGAAGCTAATTCGAATGTGTCAATACTTTTTTTTGATTCTTTTGAGAAATTTTCAATTTCACTCATTAATTTATACCAAGATTCATCACTCATGCTATCTCTTGAAGGAAATTCATATTGACGTTTTGAATCTCTCCATCTTGCTATAGCTAGATATACTTTATTGATTATTGAATGAAGTATTACTAAAGATGAAGTTACGAAAGTTAAGAAAGGAATATAACCATAATTCGCAGTATTCATTCTATATAAGATCTATGACGGATGATTAACAATAATTAACGATGATGGATAAATTAATAATAACAATAATTTTTTTTTTTAAAAAAAAAAAATTTTTACCTGAATAATAAATTGAGGTATGTCCTCGATAAAAAATCCAACCAAACTACCTAAAAATATCTTCTTATTAGCTCTTTCACTCCAAGGAGCTTGTAATGTTTTAATGCCACCAATTCTTGAACTTAAAATAATTAAAACTTCAACTTCCGTTGATCCTAAAACCGTAAATACTGAAGTGGTGGCAGTATTCATTTTGAACCAATGTAGAAATTCATCATTTTGAAATGTTTCCCTCATTACTATGTAAGACGACAAAAATAAATTAAATCCAAATGGGACAACGAAAAAGATTAAGGAAGGAATAAAAAGGAATGAAACATCTTGAGAATGAGTTAAAAGAAAAATCAAATCTACAAAAAATATAAGATTCAAAGAATTAAAAATATTTAAGTCAATATTAATGAAAAATAATTAAAAAAAAAAAAAAAATTAATAAATAATTCATAAAAAATGGATTATAATAAATAATAGATAACTTACCCAGAGAAAAATCTATCAGAATTAAAGCAAATTGGAGTACTGCAATATTCTTAGCCTTATTATCTTTTATTTCAGCAACAATATATAATAATCCCATTACAACTATAACAACACCTGTTAATATTAATGCCACTATATTTTCAATCCAAAAATTAGTTTGAACTATTGCACCATATTTTGAATCCAGCAAAGAAGTCAAACTTCCATTTATCATATTCGTATAAGATAAATAAGAAATTAAATTATCAAGATCAGACGCAAGCTTTGTTGAAGAAGGATTACCCGATTCAATTTTTAGATAAACTAAAATATAATCATTATTTTTTCCTTTATCATAATACCATGTCGAATATGGAGTTGAGATACGATTAATTTCTATCGGAAGAAAATTTGAAATTTCGGTATTTAGCATTTCTAATGCATCGATAGAGTCCGAAATAAAATATTGTTGAGCTTGAGGTTCAAATCGAACTAATACGGTGACATCATCTGTGTGATAATGAAAAAGAATTAAGTATATGAATCTACGGTGTATACTGTATAAAGTTAATAATAACGAAATTATTTACCAGAGTGGATCACTTTCTGAGAAGCTAAAATTTCATTTAATAAATAAAATAAAGAAATAAATACGAATTAAATATAAAAAAAAAAAAAAATTCACAAAATATATATATATATATAAATAATATTAAAGTATTTACCAGTAGTAAAATTCCATACCCCAGCTTTTATACCAGGCAAAGGTTCAAATAAATCTGAATTTATTACCATTCCATTTGATACTTCAATATAATATTCAGTATTTGGTAAATTTAAAGTACTTGAAATTAAATCTGCAGTAAAGGTCGTAGAATTATCATTATGAATTGTAGTTATTAAAGTATTAGGTATTGTTAATCTGGGTATTTCCTCATATCCTGATTGATATATTTTTATATCACCACGACCGGAAAGAAACACATAATCTCGAAAAGTAAGGCTTATAGTAAAAGTAGTGGAATCGGAGGTAATTGGAATATCAGATGCACCAATGCTGGGATAAGATGAAAGAACATTTAGATTTTGATATCCGTTATCTTTTTTTTTTTAAAAAAAAAAAAAATAAATTAAAAATAAATTAATTATAGAGAACAATAAAATTAAAATTAAATATTTAAATAATTTAAAAAATAAGTTTATACCATCGTAATAAAACTTGGGAATATCGATATAATATATTGCATAACCTGAACTATAACTATATCTTGGATCTAACCAATTCGATGGCATCCCTAAAAGGATTACAGTATTGTTTGGGAAAATAGTTGATCCACCGGTATACACAACTTGAGTAGTTTGCTCCTTGACTAATTTCCCATCAGTTGTGAAAAGATCGAGAATACTTTGTGTAGCAAAAAAATCTGTAAAAGTAAATATATTTTCACGTAAACTACTATGTAACAAAAGAAATCCTCCATATCTGTTATATAAATATATAAATAAAGGATGTTCAAAGATTATTAAAAATAATGACTATCTTATTTCTTATTTAAAAAAAGATAATTTGTTAAAAATAATAAAAAATAATAAAATAAAAATAATATTACTGTAAAGGTATAGCAGCAACATCTAATAAATCTCCAAAAGTTGCTTTGTCGTTTGTAATGTTTGATCGAAGAGGTATAACATCATGAACCATTCCACTTGATAAGAAATTAACTTGATATGGTTGAACTTCATCTGTTGTTGCATTCATAAATAATTGTAAGAAACAATTGAATCCATCTCCAATATCAGAACCTGCACAAGCCAAAATTTTTGTTTCATATGCGGTTGTACCAGAAAATATTACAAATGGGGAAGTTTTAACATCTGCACTATTTGGTAATAAGAATGCTGCATACACAAGACTTTGATTATATTGAGGTGATGTTGGGTCACTAATATTTGTTGGAAAGATTGTAACAGACCAAACAATCAAGAATCCTCCATCCATTGTTGCTTCTGGATTATATGAAACCACACATCCTTGTCCTGTATTATTATATTGATTTGATCCAATTAATGTTGCATTATTATAAACTTTCCATTCTAGACTATTACATTGATCAGAAATTTTTTTATAAAAAACCTGATAAATAAAGTTAAATGATAATAAAAGTTAGAAAATAACATTTAAATGATAAAAATTAATAATTATAGACATTAATTTAATCTTCAATCTAAAATTAAGATACATACATATATAAAGTTATCACCATTTGCAACCAATTGATGAGCTGTATTGTTAATCCCAAACATATTATCAATATTAATTTCACTAAATTCATTATTTTCCATTAAAAGTACATGATGCAATAAATTTCCATTTTCATCAGCAATTCCAGCCCAAGTATCTTTTTGAATTGGATTTGTTGGATCATAATTTAATGAGGTCCCATTTGCATATGCAAATAATACATTTGTTTGTGCTATAGTTGATAATGTGTTTGGTTGTATACCCTAAAGTACATAGATTCAAGATTATGAAAACTATATAAAGATTTTTTTTTTTTTTAAAAAAAAAAAAAATACGTAATTGATGAAAAAAGAACCATTGGTAATCCCCAGTGATCAAGTGTCATATCGGATTCGGATCCATTTGCATAAATAATTTTTTGTGAGAGATAAGAACTATTAACTTCTTTACGAACTACGAACAAGCGAAGACTTCCATCTTGAAACGCAGTACATCCAGCTACGTACGTCACATCAAGCGCTAATTAAAATTCGTAAATACGTAAGTTACATACATAGAAAAATTATTGATCGATATTTTTAAAAAGGAATAGCACATACTGAGATCGAGAGTTCCATTAAAATAACTTCTTTCATTAATAACCAAATCGGGTATGTCACTTTGACCCAAATTATTATATGGATAAGTAAATAAAATTATTATTATTACAATATGAAAATGCGCCATGAAAACGATCGTTTCTTCTATTTTCTTATGTTATGTGATATAAAGATAAATTTAAGAAAATTATAAAGTGATATTACAAATTATACAAATGAACAAAAAAAAAAGAGTTCAACTCTGAATTTATTACTTATTTAATATATTAAAATAAGGATCTCATTTTTAATCTAAATTAGATTTCGATCGAAGGGGCTTAAATAGTAATAACAACGATTTACAGGTTTTATCGTTCATTATTTTTTATGGAACATGTTTAAATCAATTTGAGAAATTGTGGCTTTTATTATGTTGTCAATTAAATAACGGATAAAATAATCATTACATTTTATTTATTATTCTGAAATTTATTAAACTAAAATAAAAAAAAAATAACACGTTTGATTTAAAGTTAAAATAATGACATTTTAAACTGCATATTACAAAGAACGGATTGTAATAGCCAATTAAAGGAATTAGGTGTAAAAACGAAAAAAGTGTACATGAAATTAATGCTAACTTTTTTAAAATAATGTTGAAAGTACGATTGTTACAAAGAAAAAACACATCAGAAAGACCTGCAAGAATACTATGAAGCAACTTTTCTATCTATTATTTGAAAGCTATTATTAGGGAAGGGAATTCGAAGAAAATTTTTATAAATTTGAAAAATATTTAAAATATTTTGTGAAGGCTGTTAATGAAATCGAACAGAATATCAAAGATAACTAGAAAATTCAATGATTTAAATTCAGAGCAATGCCCTGCTCTTTACACACAGGTACGAATTTATATGAAAGATCTTTTAGGTTGTTACTAATATTTTTTTGTTTTAAAAGGAACACAATTATGCAATTTTTTTGGGAATTATATCTTTAATGGTTGCATTTTTTTTTTTTACAAATAAACTTAAGACGCGATATCTTTATTTTATTAAGTAGAATTTTTTTTATTAGCAATTATTCATAGTTTATTTCACGATTAATGATAAAGTTAGTAATATAAATAAATATATTCACGCGTGAAAAAGGGTAGTTAAGAATATATATTTATAGTCGTTTGATTCATCTGCTTAACTAATGCCATTTTTTATTTTGAATTATAATACCGTAATTAGATAATGAAATTTGCATTACGCCATATTTCTAATGATATAAAGATTTATTTTAACACAAATCGAAAATAAAACATAATTACGGTAACCATTGATTATAAAACCCTCGAAACTTCTATTAGTTTTATTAATTTAATAATAGAATTATTATAAAAAATACATTTTAACCAATAAAAATATATTCATTAATAAAACAAAATAATCTAGGCAATATAGGGAAGTATAACTAATACATTATTGAATAAATTATTTCTTCAAGTAATTGTTCCGCATTTGTATTTCCACTTTCCATTGCTTTATTTAACCAGTATATAGCTTTTATAATATCTTTTTTAGTTCCACGCCCTTCATAAAAGCATTCTCCGAGTATATATTGGCCATAATCATAATTTTCTGCAGCTTTTTTATACCATCCAAATGCCTTCATTTCATCTCTATCAATTACATAACCATTTGCATAATAAATTCCTAAATTATATTGTGCCATAGTAAATCCTTTTTCAGCAGCCTTCAAAAACCATTTAAATACTTCTTTTCATCTTTACACACGCCTATATCATTTTCATAAAAATATCCGACGTAACATATTGCATCAATATTTCCAGAAAGAGCAGATTTCGTATTCCATTGAAATGCTTTGGTTTCATCTTTTGTTACTCCTATTCCACGTTCATAATGCTTGCCAAAATTAAATTGTGCTGCAATATTTCCTTTTTCAGCGGATTTTAAAGATGATTCATCTTCATTTTTTTCAACACCAAGCCCATTTTCGTAACAATATGCTACAAGAATTAATGCTATAAGAGACCCCTTTTCAGCAAGTTCATAATAAATCTGAAATGCTTTTTTTGTATCTTTTTCAACACCTATGCCATCTAAATACATATCAGCAAGAGATAAGGTACTAATTTCTTTGTTGATATTGTATAATTTCCTTAAGAATGAGGAATTAGAAGGGGAGGTATCATTGACTGTTAAATTAAAGAATTTAAATGCCATTTGATAATCAAAAACTGTCCCAATTCCATACCGATAAAAAAATCCTATTAAGCTAGTAAACAAATAATAAAATGGATGGCGAATCATTTCATATAGAATTTTAGTTGGATTCTTTTTATGTTCTCTTAAATAATTTTTGATCATAATTGGTTCCATATCTTCGAACTGTTTTTTGCGTAATCAATGAAGATTTCAAACAGATCATTAATAAAATCGGTCGTCGTCAAATCATCAAAAGGACGATCAGGTTTAATTTCTAGTTCTTCATTTTGTCTTAAGAAAGAAGAATTATTATTTGACAAATGTTCTGAGAATTTAAATTTATATTTAAAAAAAAACGCAACTTACATATGCAATTTAACATCGGTGGTCACATAAGGTTGTGATTGAGGAGTTTCAAATTCAACGCTTGCATCGGAGATAATGATTTCAGAACGTGAGTTTCCATTGCGCTTCCAATAATCTGTCAAAAATAGAACATTGACAATTTATTATATCTCTTTTGCTTTTTGCGATATTGTTTAACAAATCAACATTTTGTTGAAGATTCCATTTCAAAAGGAGTATTACTAATAGAAATATTGGAATTCTCATTTTTGAAACACCGAGGATCCATGTATTATATTAGGCCACGAGTATTTATAAATCTCAAAGAATCCAAAGATATTTAATTTGATGATCCGAATAAGAATATTTTCAGATTTTCAGAGTTCTAATTATAATCAATAAAAAAATTAAAAATAATTCATTTATAAAATTTATTATTAAATAAGAATACACTTTTCAACATCTAGACCTTTTAAATGCATATCAGCTAGAGAGATGGTACTAATTTCTTTGTTGATATTGTATAGTTTTCTTAAGGATGAAGGATCAGAAGAGGAGGTATCAATTATTTAATTTGCAGTTAAATTAAAGAATTTAAATCAATAATAATCCCAATTCTATACTGATAAAAAAATCCTACACAATTATTTTATTGATTTACACAAATAATTTTATTGTCATATTTAATTGATTAATTAATAAATTTCAAACCAAAAAAAGTTCAAAATTAGCCTTCAAAGTATTTTTTACTTTTTTTTTTGCGCATGAAAATATTTAAGTGAATTAAGTGAATTTAAATTTTAATAAAATAATATTATTTTTATAATGAAAAATTCAATTTTTGATAATCAAGATGATGAAAACATATATATTGTATAATTATCTTGCAATATTCATACAAATTTTAAGAAAAATTGGCTGAAAATGAAGAAAATAACTCTGAAATAAAGGAAATAATGAGATACAAGAAGAAATTATTTAAAGTAAAAGAGGCTATGGTCATAGATGAAATAGTGATCGTGGTCGATGTCAAGGTTGAGATCGTAGTTAGAATCAAAATGAAATTCAAGATTCTATACAATTTCTTCCTCCTTTTTTTAATTGTTTTCAACATTCTAGATATTTATATAAATTTACACCAAATTTGCCAAATGAATATTAATCTTTTTTTATTTTCTCCATATATAATTTGTCTTTTTTTTTCTTTAGAACAATCAAATACAATTGTTTTAAATACAAATAAATATGCTTACTTAAAAGAAGTAGGAGAAGGATGTAAATAGGAAGAATTAATATTAAGTGAATTAAAAATTTGGATTGCAATATTAATTTATTCAGGTATTTTTAAATTACCTAGTGTTTGTGATTATCGGAACAAAAAATAAACAATTTTTTGAGCATAAAATGACAAATTTTACAACATTAATTTGATTTAAACAAGTGCGTTATTTTGATTTTATAATAAATATTTTTTATTTAATTTATTAATATTAACTTAAATTTTATAAATTAGATTAAACATTTCATATACAAAGTTTATTGGAGCAAGACTCCGTTGGATTAAAAAAAAAAAACATTTCATATACATTTCAGATTGTACTATTTCACCTCCATATTGGTATTCTAAGTTAGAACCTTTGGCAGGCCATATTTGAAAAGTTTTCAAACTAATGAACAATTAATAAAATGGATGGTGAATTATTTCATATAGAATTTTAGCTGGATTCTTTTTGTGTTCTCTAATATGACTTTTGATTATATTTGGCTAATATTTTGGAACTGCTTTTTGCATATTTCAATGAAAATTTCAAACGGATCATTAATGAAACCATTATCTTCAGTAGTGATCTTTTTTTTTGAATTCGCTCGCGATTTTCGTGACAGGGAGCGATTTATACCAAGGTATTTCTAAGATGGATCGAAAGTCCTGGTTCCTAGCTACATTTTTATATGTGTTTCATTCCTATAGCATCGATATTTTGGAAAGATAAGACTTTGAATTCAATAACTGATACATAACCAATAAAACTGATTCAATAAACTTAAGCACAGTATATTAGATATTTTACCAAACTAATTGAAATAATATTATTAATAAATAAAAATCATGTTTCAATTACATATCAATGATATCTCAGTAGACTGGCAAGCTTCTGTTTATAAATTCGGAATACAGAAAAAATTTCCCATGTCTTTAGAAATGAAGTAATGTCCGGCAGATCATTCTTCTGAAGATTTCATTCCGATTACTAAAGCGACTCTTTGTAAGGAAGATCTCTTGTTTTTCTTATCTCCTTTTGGTAATGTACTACATTGTACTGATTTTTGACTCTTTTATATAAATTTTTAAAGAAACACTACTTAACATGTTCTACAATTTTTAATATCATACAAAAAAACATCAAAAATTCTATCATCGTTTTATAGTTTATGGGAATTAAGCTATGAATCGATGTATAAGTAATTATCTTTTCAGCATTCTTACTAATTTATTATTTTTGTTGGCCTATTAGTTTTTTTAACAGTTCAAGGGTTAACTGGCTTCAAGCCGAGGTTGTTGAGCGTAAGATACTATATTTATTTTTTGGTGTTTGTAATATAGTTTATTTTAAATGGTGGTCAAATGTTATTTGGGTGATGTTTTTATTACCAGGATATATTCGAGTTTTTAGAGGGTAATTCTATGGAGGTGGGTGGGTGTACAGAAGATAGGTGAATGAATAAAAATTTCTCCGCTGAGTGCGACGAACAAAAACGGTTTTATCGATCGACATGGTCTCACTAAAGAATAAATTTTAGAATTCGTTGCAATAGTCTTTTTTTTTTTTTTTATTTGGAGCTATATTTACAAGATGGTATTATTATTTTTTATATCTGGCCCATAAGATAAAGCTCTGAAAATATAATCTTGCACCCCTCTTGTCTTGAAAATCTGGTTTTGATCATGATTGATGAGTTTGTGAAAAAAAATTGAATAGTTCTAGATTGTCATGATAGCTAAGTTTTCTTATTTAAACCAGATAAAAGAATTTTTCCTTCTATTTTTTACTCCTACTTTTACTCCATTTCTATTTCTATTTCTATTTCGAATATCCTTAATAGTTTTAGAGTATTTGTATTTAATTTTGATTAATAAATTATTATTTTTTATCTTTTTATCTTAAATATACAAAGATTTGTATCAATTATATTTAGATACATATGTATGCTTAAATAGTATTTTAGTAGAATATAAATATTAAATCAAAATATGTAAAAAATGAATGATGCGTTTAAGAAAGGGAATTGTTTCTGAAGCATTGCTTCTGTATTTCAAAACAATTATTTAATTTGCTTTAATATAAAAAAGATAGGCAAAATCAGCCGGATTTGGGTTATACAATGATCTTCAAAATTGAATCAAATGCATGAATTTATTTAATTCGAAAAAAAATGAAAGAAACGAGAAAAACGAAAAATGAGAAAAAATGAAGAAATGAAAGAGACTGGAGAAATAGAAAAATCGGTAGAGTAGGCATATTGTTATTATATTAAACTTTATTTTAAAACCATAATTTATTGCTAATATTAATTTATAAACTAATAAATTATATTGCAGCTTGTGAGTATTTAAATTTATTATTATCGAAGTCAATGTTTCAATTTAATTCAATAACTTATGACAATTCTTTAATCAATTATAAACTAATCAATATAAATAGTTTGTGAGTATTTAGATTCATAATTATTGAAATCAACATTTCAATTTAATAAATTTAAATTTAATTCAATACCATATAACAATTCTCTAATCAAGTATAAACTAATCAATATAAAATTATATTACAGTAAGTGAGTATTTAGATTCATAATTATCTCAATCAATGTTTCAATTTAATTCAATATCATATAACAATTCTCTAATCAATTATAAACTAATCAATATAAATTATATTACAGGGAGTGAGTATTTAGATTCATAATTAT